ACACGTGATTCACATGTAAATCACATGTTATTCACGTGATTTACATATGATTCATATATGATTTACATGTGATTCATATGTGAATTACATGTGATTTATATGTAATTCATATGTGACTCACTTGTGATTTACATGTGAATCTCATGTAATTCATATGTGATTCACTTGTGATTTACATGTGATTCACTTGTGATTCACATGTAAATCACATGTGATTCACATGTAAATCACAAGTGATTCAATTTAACACATGTGATAAAAATCACATGTGATTCACATATGAATTACATGTGGTTCACATGTAAATTACATATGATTCACATGTAATTCATATGTGATTCACTTGTGATTTACATGTGATTCACTTGTGATTTACATGTGATTCACATGTAAATCATATGTGATGCAATTTAACACATGTGATTTACATGTGAATCACATGTGATTTACATGTAAACCACAATTTAACACATGTGATTCATATGTAATTCACATATGAATCACATGTAATTCACAAGTGAATCACATGATATATACATATGTATTTTTGTGAGTGTTCTTCCATTAATCAACTTGTTGTTTTTTTCTTGTAGATTTGAAAGAATTTGTGGAAAATTTTGAAGATGTGAAAAGTGATAAATTGAAGAAAATATGGAAATATTGAGACGAAGACATCAAAATGATTCGAAATTTTATAGCATTTTTTGTTTTTTATATTTTATTTTGTATCCAATAAAATATTTGTACTATTGTGTTTCTAGATTAATAAATAAAAATGAGTTTTTTTATGATTTACTTACGAACATTATAGTATAAGAAATATGCATATGTGTACTTGAAAAAATATGTATATATTCATCTGAAACGTTGATTTTTTGGGTTTAAAAAATTATAGTTTTTTTTAAACAAAAAATCCAATTTTTTTTTAAAAATTTATTGATTTTTAAAAATATACTATTTTTAAAAAAAATGCAGTTGTATCTTAAAAAAATCTATTTTTTCATTTAAAAAAATCAATTTTTCTAAAAAAAATTTAAAAATCTGCATTTTTTAAATAAATCGAAAATTACTATTTTTTTAAAACAAAATCCGAAAATTTGACATATTATATTAATTTTTAGACTTTTTAATTAATATTTCAATAACATAAAAAATTAAACATTAAATGAGATCGGTAAGATGACGATCATGTCCTTAATTAATTAATTTTGATCTAACGCTCCACCTTTTTCTCAGGAAACTATGAGTTCTCAACCGATATCACCTATATATATATATATATATATATATATATATATATATATATATATATATTATAATATATATATATATATATATATATATATATATATATATATATATATATATAGGTTCTTTGAAACCATGCTAATTTTGTGAGACCGTAAGACCAAATCTAAAAATAATTTTAAAATGCAAAATAAAATGAAAAATCCAAAAATTCTTTTTATAATTATTATTTTCGGAACTTTAATTACCTAAAAAAATATTAAAAATAAATAAATAAATAAATAAAATTACCGTTTTTTTTTTGAAAAATACGTTACATATTCCAATAGAATATTACATTGTAAATATTCTAATGTGATTTTTAGAATGTTAGAATATTATACTAGATTTCTTGGATATGTAGAATATTATATTATTCTACTAGAATATGTAAAAAAAAGTATTTTATTTTTATTTTTTTTTGGAAAATATAAATTCCGAAAATAATATTTGAAATTTTTTGTTTTATCTACCAAATGAATGGCTAGGATTGCGTCTCACGGTCTCACAAAATTAGGCCGTCTCACATGAAGATAACCCTATATATATCTATATATATATAGATATATATATATATATATATATATATAGATATATATATATCTATATATATATATATAAAAGTTCAATAGAGAACCATATTATTGGTTCTTCAAGGAACCAAATTTTTTTTGGGTAAATTACACCAATCGTCCCTCGTATACATGCCAGAAAGCGTGTTTAGTCCCTATTTTCAAAAATTAACTCGGACCGTCCCTCGTTTGTTTAAAAGTTGCACACTTCGTCCCTGATACGTGGTTTTGTTGCAAATCTAGTCCATACTAGATCTGAAATGACCATAATGCCCTTTATTTATTTATTTTTTATTTATTTAGTATTATTAATTATAAATTATATTTAGAAGAAAAAAAATAACGGTCCTTCCCCTTATTTATCTTTTCTCTCATTAAACCTCACCCTCACATTCTAGGATTCCAACGAGCCATCAAACCCTCAGCCTCCAACATTCCGGCAACGTTCAGTTCAACAATTTCCGACATATATGGAGGTAGTTTCCGACGATCGGGTCGATGGGAAGGAGGAAGGTTCTGTTGTCTAGATCATCTTTTCCCACCTCCACACTCCATCTGATGAACACCCTTCTAGCAACACCAAGAACACCCCATCACAAATTTATGTTTCCGATGAGAGGCAAAGAGGAGATCGGAGGAAATGGGTGAAGGTTTAGTCTCCGAAAGATGCCCTTCCCAATTGTTTCATCGAGCAGCTTATCCCCATTTCTTCGTTTCCCCTTCTCCATCCTTCCTAAATCGATTTTGATTTTGTGTTTGTGGTTGATTTGGTTTGATTTGGTTTCGATGGATTCTTCTGGAAACACACACTTGTATTATTTCAACCCTCAAGCAGATATGAATTTACCAAATATAGAAAAATCACCACCATGGATTTCCCTCTCCTGTTAAAGAACTATGATGGTTCATCACATGATATTGAGAATAAATTACGGCTTGGTACATACGAATTCTCGGAACTCAATTTCCTGTCAAGCAATTTGGCAAATCAAATAAAGCTATGGTCAGTTGGGTATATTCTTTTGTTGAAGCTCTATGAAGAGAGCAACCTCGACATGTACGACATTGACAAATCTGGAAAAATCACCACCATGGATGTCCCGATCGATTTTGTTTCGATGGATTCTTCGTAGGGTAGGTAATATATGGAGAATATGGTGGCCATAGTCGAATCTTGTTGCAGGTTTTAAGGTTTAGAGATGATAGTGATGATGGCAGAGTTGGTGAAGGTGGCAGTGATGGGGTTTTCGTTGGCGTAGGGAGGGATCGAGTGAGAAAGAAGGAGACGAAGGTAGAAGAAATTATATGTTTTATTCGACCTTCAGATCGAGGAAGAAATGGAAGGGGGAAGGGTGGGGGTATTTTTTTGTTTATTCTTATTTTTTAATAAAAAAAATTATATATAAATAAAAGAAAATGAAAAAAAGAAATTATTAAGGGCAAAATAGTCATTTTATGTCAATAGGGATGAAGCGTGCAAGTCTAAAAGAAACGAGGGACAGTCCGAGTTAATTTTTGAAAATAGTGACTAAACACGTTTTCTGGCATATGCACGAGGGACGATTGGTGTAATTTACCCATTTTTTTTCAAGTTTAGACCTTATTCTTTATCGAAAAAAAAAAAAACTAAAAATATCTAGATTCATAACATAACATTGTGAATGTTAAATATATTTTTCGGATTCACCGTGTGAATTTAGATTCACATTGTGAACTTTCAAAGATTCACATTGTGAATTTGACGAAAAAAAATTTTATTTTTATTTTTTTCGAATTCGATATCATTGGAAAAATGATAAAAAGTTATGAATTTCTGTATTTTTAGTTTTTTTTTTTGATAAAAAATAAGTTCTAAAAGTTGAAAAGAAGATTAGTCCTTGGTTAATTATGGTTCTCTATTGAACTCCACCTATATATATATATAATATATATATATAATATATATATTATATATATATATATATCTATATATATATATTATATATATATATATATATATATATATAACGTATGCTCGCACACGTCACACACATGTAGAGACGTTCATGTTATTAATGACATAAAGTGTTCACTAATTCCATGATGCCACGATGAAAACAAAAATGTTATTTTTACTTATATTCTTTTGTCTTAACATCACCTTGTCACTTTATATATAAGATATATATATATATATATATATATATATATATATATATATATATATATATATAATATATATATATATATATATATAAAACGTATGCTCGCACACGTCACACACATGTAGAGACGTTCATGTTATTAATGACATAAAGTGTTCACTAATTCCATGATGCCACGAAGAAAACAAAAAACGTTATTTTACTTATATTCTTTTGTCTTAACATCACCTTGTCACTTTAGGAAAACTAGATAGACCATTTTTTAAATTTTGTTTATTACCTAGTATAAAAGGTGTGGAGAGACGGTAACAACCGAAACAACTAAAGTTAATGGGAACGAAAAACATGAGTACTGCTTACAGTCAAATTTTTGAAGCCTGAAACTTTAAGAAAGTGCCAACCAACCACAACGTAAACTGTAATTTAGTCTTGCTTAAATTTTGAATAAATTTAAATGTACTGCACTAGTGCTAGTAAATTTTTTATTCAATCCTTTTTTTAGATAATTTATTTATTTATATAGACAATACTAAATTACTCCTAACTCTTTCTAGCTATTTTAGGTAAATACAATTTGTTTGTTTGTTTTTGTTTTTGTTTTTGTTTTTTTTTTTTTTTTTTTTTTAAATTCTACGACTAAAAACTCTTTTTTACAGCTAAAACAATACTTCATTTTTGTTTTTTGTAAAAAAAAGTAAATTGCCTAATCTAGATGTGTAGAAAAAAAATAGGTTGTTAACGCTCTACATTTTCTCCCTTTTAATCATATACAAAGTAAACTCATTTTCTATTATTAATGATATACAATGTTAACTTCTTGTTCTTGTTGTCTTATAAAAACAAAATATAACAATGATGCTATGTCAAAACAAAAGACGCTATTTGCCTATATATTATTTTGTCTTACGATTTTTGTTTATAAGTTTAATTTTGTTATTATATATATTTTGGTCACTGATCGTTAAGGAATATTAAATCAAATAGGCACCTAGCTAGGTGTTATATATTGATGTAAATATTGTAATCAAACCGACACAATCTATGATTCTTGTAACTAAGTAATTAAGCAATTACAGGGTTTTCTAGCCGCAAAAGAGAAACTACATCTGCTGAACCATTTCCAATGACGCATTCTTGATCTTTTTCCTCACCGAGCTTGTCAATGCAGCTGCATCTATGCCATCTCCAATCACCACCATCTGGTTCTTGTTCTCCCCTTGTAGCTCCACTGAACTGACACCTACGCACATATTAAAGTCATATAACACGCACATACACATACTTATATTCTTATCATTTTCAAGAAACGAGTAATTGGAATCTGGTTTCAAAATATGTTTACACTTACAACTACCTGATGCTTTTGCAGCTATCATCATGGCTTTTGTTCGGCATCTCCCACACTTTGGCTGCATCTTTATCACAATCTTTTGCTGCAAAATTCATTTACAACAATTAACAAATTAAATCGCACATAATTTGAAGACAAATGTTGTATACTGATGTCTTACAATAAAAATAATGATCAGTTAAGAATTTGATCGGTTATTATGTCTACATAATTAGAAAGGAATATGCAGATGCAAATACCATCATTATGAAGAATACTTGTTAAAGCTCTATGGGTGAGAGAAGATTTAGGGCATACATATAATATAAACGTTTGATATATATAAGGTCTCTTAGTGTACTTTATAAGATTACAGTTAATGCCGTGTGGAAAATCTTACGCTTCATTGGATTTCCACTTGTATAAGTTGAACCACAAGGCTGAGAATTTTTCAAACTTAAAGAATATGAGTCGATGTGTCAAAATAAATAGAGAAAGACTTACCAAGAAAATGTCCAGTGAATTATTGGCGAGCATGTGCTTATGAATGAACCACGGCATTTTGACTTTCTTATGTATTGTTATTAAAGGCTCTTTGTCCGCCATATGTGTTAACCGTTTTTAAAAAGCAACCCCATACAACATATTCATTTAATTTCTGGATTACCGAAATCACATTTCATCATGTGTTGGATTGGAGTCAATCTAATGGTTTTAGGTTTGTTTTGGGCTTTGAATTAGTGAAATTGCATCGAAGCTCGCAGTTGTCTACTTTAGGATTGCTTTGGGGGGACGAGCGTTAAGATATATATGAACCAGATTATAATACTATCATATGATTATGATAGAGAGAAATTACATGCTTCTCAATGAAAAGAATCAAGGCTACAAAGAATAAAGCGGAGAATAAATATTAGCAAGACAAAACCTTACTGCTAAAGCCTAAAGGGCCCATAAACATATGAGCTAATAACATATAGGCTAACAAGCGATATGGTTCCGAGCTGTAAGTGATGATGGGTGAAGTGACAATCAATCTCAATGTGCTTCGTCCGCTCATGGAAAATAGAATTGTTCGTAATTTGTATCGCACTTTTGTTATCACAATGCAGGGGAGTAGGTGAAGAAATGTGAACTCCCATATCCGCAAGCAGCCATCGTAACTAGATAATCTCACATGTAGTCACAACCATAACACGATACTCAACCTCCGTGGAAGATCTAGAGATAACGTCCCGTTTCTTGCTCTTCCATGAAAAGAGAGACTCTCAAAGAAATACGAAAAATCTGGTGGTGGATATACGATCTTGACGATCATCATCCCAATCAGCATCACTATAGGCACGTAACTCAAAAGAAGACGTCGAGGGAAACAAGAGGGTCTGAAACTGAGTGCCACGAAGATATCTCATAATACGGAGTACAACTCCCCACTGAACACATGTAGGAGTAGTAACAAACTGACTGACAACATGAATAACATGAGCAGTATCCGGACGAGTAACTGCGAGATAAACCAAACTTCCCACAACAGTGCGATAAAGATTTGGATCGGACAAAAGAACACCATCAGTAGGAGAGTATTGTGCAATGGTTTCAAGAGGAGTATCAACAGTCTGGTTGTCAGAGAGGCTCACCCACGTAAACAAGTCAGATATATATTTAGCCTGAAAAAGAAGATACTCTTTCTTAGATTGAGCTACCTCAATACCCAAGAAATAACGCAGCAAACCCAAATCCTTCATAGAAAATCGATCTGGATCATGCTTCAAAGACTCAATACCACTATGGTCATCACTAGTAGTAATCATGTCATCCATATATAAGGATAAACGAATCTGTCCTACACTCGAGCATCTAACAAACATAGTTAAATCATGATTACTATGGACAAGTCCAAGAGTGGTAATCACTATGGAGAATTTCTCAAACGAAGCACGAGGGGTTTGCTCGAGACCATACAAAGCTTTGTGAAGCCAACAAACCTCACCCGGATGGTGCCAAATTTCTGGGGGAGGAGACATATAAAACTCTTCATGGAGGTCACCATTTAAAAGGCATTCTTGACATCCATTTGAAAGATCTTGCACTGTCGAACGGATGCATCTAAAGTCATAGTACGAACTATTGTCATCTTTGCCACTAGAGAAAATGTATCCTCATAGTCAAAACCGTACTATTGGGAATACCGTTTTGCTACAAGTCTGGCCTTGTACAACTCAACAGACCCATCAGCTTTTGTTTTTATCTTATATAGCCAACGACAACCAGTCGTATGTTTCTCGGGAGGAAAGGAAACCAAATCCCATGTGTGAGTCAGATGAAGAGGAGTGAGTTCCTTAACTATATCATTAGTGAAAGAGGATCTAAAATATCTTCTTTATACGATTCTGTTTCAGACAGATGATGGGTGCTCTCTATAAATGAAGTAAATGGTCTACTGAAAGGTAAAACATAGAATTTCCCCAGTTTACAACCACTAAAATCAGAAATATCACAAATGTTCAAATGACCCAAAACACTGCTAGATGCTAGAAAAATCAAACGTGATACAGACACATGTACTAAACGAGAATGCCAAAGATAATATTCAGATGACAAAGGACTCAAACGAAAAGAAGATAAATCAATGTTGGAGGCAGCAACAGCAGATACTTTGAGAACCTCCAATACATATAGTTCCCCCACCCTACGGCCGATCCCAATCACCTTCGAGGTGTGTTGATCCTGTATAACATAGAAAAAATCAGAAAAGAACACCCAATTACTAGACTTAGACAACTGACTGACTGAAGCAAGATTCAACGTAAGTTTGGGAATGTAATAAACATCAGGGAGAGTGATATGAGAAATAGAGACAAACCTAACACCCTCGACTAACATAGATGTATCACTAGCAGATATAACATGTAACACCCCGTTCCCGTTACGGATTTAGTTCATTAAATGCTCATTTTATAAGAGCTACTTGACGAGTTGGTAGCCCTAACTCGTCAAGTAGATGCCAGTTTAATTGCGGGGTTTAAGTGGACTACTCGACGAGTCAGGAATTGACTCGGCGAGTAGGTCCATCAGGAGGAAACCCTAATCCTTAGGGTTTGCACCCTATTTAAGCAACATTATGAGTCTTCACCCCAGCCCCCATCACCTTCACATCCTACTCTCGAAACCCTAATCAATCTTATGCATTCTTGAGCCATTTTTCCTTACATTTGTGTGGTTGAAGCTAGGAGAAGGAAGGCAAAGAGTGGGTACAACAAAGGAGGGCAGAAGATCTAGAGTTCTTGGGTCATTTCAGACTTATTAAAGGTATAAAGCTAATACCTTGGCTTCTACCCATTTAGATCTCCTTATAGACTTGATATTTGCACTTTTTGGGTCCTTTCCAAGGTCATTCCGAGATTTGAAACCTTGGGGGAGGAAAGGACTTCATATCTGAACATTTCTGAGCTTTAGAGCCCAAAGTTGTCCATTTATTCAACCATGACTCCATGACATGCTATAGACCTTCATATTTGACTTGGAATGAGTGTTTTAGCTTCATAACATCATGCATGAACGTAAAGTTAGCAACTTTACTTGTAATGCTAGTCTAAGGAGTCCAGATCTATGAGTTAGAAGCATTGAAATGGATTAGAATCGACTGAATGGATATGTCACAAGGAGGACTCGGCGAGTTGTTCTCGGACTCGGCGAGTCGGGTCGTGAACCCTGACTCCTTTTCTGATTGGATTAGGACCAGTGAGTGGGGGTGGTGACTCAGGGGTGGAACATGACTTGGACACGAAAGTTGAAGAACTCGACGAGTCTACGAAGGGACTCGGCAAGTTAGAGTCGATATGTCCCTTTTCTGATTTCGCTAGGACTCGGCGAGTCTAAGGACGACTCGACGGGTCAGTTCGTCTAGTCGCGATGTCGATTAGCATAGAGACTCGACGAGTCATAAGGTGACTCGATGAGTCGAGTCGCGAATCTTAGAATTTCTGAGTTCTAGAACTCGGCGAGTCAATAGGCTGACTCAGCGAGTAAGTCAACCTAGAAGGATGACTTTGGTCAGGACGTGACTTTGACCAGGGATAAAATGGTCATTTTACGTAAGAAGATTATCAGTTTTGATTAACTGTTGTTATGGAATTTATAGTCAGAGAGTCGCCGGAGCAGCAGATAGGGATCCCTCACCTAGTTTTTCAGCAGTCAGTCATACGAGGTGAGTTTCCTTCCAGTAGGAACGGGTCTACAGCCATAGTGCCGACCCGTTTAGATGATAGTAGTTCTGGGCTTCGGTCCGATGCCGGGGTGGTCCCGAGAAGTAGTTATCTATGCTTGATGTCATCGTGATTCATGCATGTTTATGTTATGTGTATATGTTCCGGACTCCGGTCCGATTCCCGCCAAGCCCGATGCAGTATATGTGATTATGTTATATGTTCATGCTTATGTTATGTTCAGTTTATTCCGGACTTCGGTCCGATGTCGGGCGGGGCCCGATGCAGTGGGTGGGGCCCAAGTTATTCCAGGACTTCGATCCGATGTCGGGCGGGCCCGATGCAGTGGGCGGGGCCCAATTTAGCCGGACTTCAGTCTGATGTCGGGCGGGGCTCGATGCAGTGGGCACGGACCAGTATGTGTTATATGTGTTATTGTATGGTATGTGGTAGTTTGGGGGATCACTAAGCTTCGTTCTTACAGTTTTCAGTTTTGGTTTCAGGTACTTCCACTAGCAAAGGGAAGGGCTCGGGATGATCTCATGGCACACACCACAGTCTTCAGCCTTGGAGTTTTACTATGATATTTTGATATGACATTTGACATGATATTTGATATGTGATAGATATTATGAGATTTTGAAACACGT